GGTCTTCCACATAAAGGCAAACAGGTGCAGCCTCTTTTACATTGTCCTTTTTCTTTAGTAACTTTTGCCATCCTGTTTATCCAGGTAACTTTTCATCTGTGAAATGTTGGAAGATCTGCAACCATTTGTGAGTTAAGATTGTGCTGGCCTCTGGAACTTTTCCAAAAAGTAAAGGTTCTTCCATGGTTTGACATACTTAATTTATTATTTATACTGTTAATAGGTTGGATCAACTGTTACTGGTCTGATGTAGTTTTCTATTGTTTCACGCGGTTGATCCATCTTGACTCCACCAGCAACACATATATTATACATATCTCTAGACCAGTGGTTCCCAAACTTTTTTTGACCAGGGACCACCTTGACCAGGGACCACTTTGACCAGGGATCACTCTCCACAAATCAGGTTTTGGTCAACTTTAGATTCAATTTAGGGTGCTGATTCAGAAAATTGTATTGGATAAACCACATCAGCTCTCATTTCTGATATAGAACTTATGCCATGGTCAGTGACAGGGAAGGAGTGGCAGGTGGCATGAAAGGAGCAGAAATAAAATAAAATAAAATAAAATAAATAAAGAGGAAGGAGGCTCGCGGACCAGGTTTTCTTCCTTGCGGCCTACTGGTTAAGATCCACTGCTCTAGAGAGACTCCCACCATAGATGTTCTTTTTGTTTCCAACTTTTCTCCTAAGACTTTGAATATTTTAACATAAAAAACCTGAAAATTCAAATCAGAACTTTCCAAAGTTTGGTGCTTCACTGCAGATTTTCAGTCCTCCTGTTTCCTGAGAGCAGGATTGAGAAAGGAATCAAAGCTTGGGAAAATTCCTTTTTGGACTGCAAGGCCAAGGACTTCCCAATATCTTTTCCAAGTTCTATTAGAATAAGAGCAAAAGCACTAAAATCTGCATGCTACTGCATCTAATAGCTGTTCACAGGACACAGAATTGGAAGCATCTTTATGACATCCACACTAAAACAATAGCCGCAAAACTAATATTATGGTCAATAAAGGGATATTGTATTTAGCAAAGGGCAAGCCTCTTATCACTGAGCAGCAATTAGCTGGAATCAACCTCCCTGAACTATTTCCCTCCTAGCATTTTCTGTGCTCTAGGATCATCATCACCCCACTTCTTGTTTACACTGTAGCAAACTCTAAACATTCATCCTGGCACCAGGTGAAATCCTGGAAGCTTGATTTCTTCAGGCACAGAGGGTCCCTTTAGATTTCAGGTCATGGTATTCTGAGATCCTTTCTGGGAGACAAGAAAGAAGCTTTCTGTCTCACAATCCACAAAAGGGGTTGTCTAGACCTTAAGCCAGCAGAACTCAATGAGATTCTTTTAGAACCATGGGATTCAGTATTTTTTTAGTCAAAAGATCTGAAGTAAAACCTTTTGGAAACAGAGTAAGCACAAGACTATCTTTTCAGCCCTGTAAATATTTTTATAGCTAAACACACAGTAAAAGACTTTGGTTTATATTTTCAAGACATAATGCAAGATGAAATATGTAATTCCAAGACAGATGCATGAAGAATAACCAGAATTTAATTCTGATATTGCAATCCATTTAGGGGTATCAGAATGAAAACAGGACATTTCTGTTGCTTGTTACTGCATGGCAAGCCAAAACAATTCCTGGCATATCAAGAGGAGTATAATGGCCATGTCAAGGAAAGCAGTGATGAAATTGCTGAATTGGACTCGGATATGGCAATATGGTTGATAATAATGTTTTAAATGGATTTTAACCTAATGTTTTTACCTACTCTGTTATGTCATATTGTATTGGGTTTTGTATGTGTTGGCATCAAATTGTTGCCATTGTAAGCTGCCCTGATTCCCCCCTTGGGGGCTGAGAAGGACAGGGTACAAATGTTTGAAATAATAATAAATAAAATATTAAATCTGTTTTGGTCAGACCTTGCCTGGAATACTGTGTTCAGTTCCAGAGGATATTAAGAAGCTGGGAGGTGTTTAGAGGAGGGTGACCAAAATGATCAAAGGGCCAAGATGATCAAGCCAACCCCTAAGATAGTGGTTCTCAACCTTTCTAACACCGGGACCCCTAAATATGGAGAACCCTTGAGAACCCTTGCTCTGTTGTTTGTTGTTCATTCGTTCAGTCACTTCCAACTCTTCGTGACCTCATGGACTGGCCCACGCCAGAGCTCCCTGTCAGCCGTCACCATCCCCAGCTCCTTCAAGGTCAAGCCAGTCACTTCAAGGATGCCATCCATCCATCATCTTGCCCATCCATCTTGCATTACCTTTGCTCTAGAGTAATGCAAATTGGGATAATGGATTTTGATTGCAGGCTTTACATTTCTCTTGTAGCACAGACAGATATTTTCCTAGTAAAACTAAACTAGCTCCTCTGATTCAAAGGCAAATGACTTCACAGACACAGAAAGATCCCTGGGTTCATTTTGGACATAGATTCTTTTTGAAAGGGAAGATTTAGATAAATTTGTTCATGACAGTCATCCTTGCCCATTCCCTATAGGAGGTCTGGGACAAATTTTGCTTCCTAGAGCAAAGAACTATTCATTTTGAAGATCCTGTGGGACCTGAATCTTTTACTTAATAGGATGTGCTTTCTTCATGCCACCTGAAAGAGGTGGGGTGGCTTTGGTGAATTAGAATAGGTTTCATGTTGCTCAGCTGACTCCTTCAATACTTTACTGTAGGGTTGCCATTTATCTCAGGAAATGAAATCAACTAAAAGACAAGGTGCCAATTTTCCAGAAACAGTTATATCCTCTTTTTATCCAGGAACAAGGAACAGCCCTCCACAGCAGGGCCTTGTTGTAAGTGTCCCAATCTGCAGTTCATGTGATGGTAACACCTACATGGAACTAGAGTTTGGAAAAGTACTGCTTTGGATTGCAACTCCCAGAAGCCACTGGCCATGTTGGTTGGGAGGGAATTTTGGGAGATAAAGTGTAAAAAAATCCTGCTTCAAGCTCAAAATGAGGGGAACTAATAAGACATTATGTGAAACACAAATCAGAATAACTTAAGAAGGAAATGAAGATCTAATGGAAAAGCAAAGGATTAGTCACATAGTCTAAGCAATTTCGAAGCCACTAATAGTCTATGAAAGGTTACAGTACAGCTTTTTCAGAGGACCAAACTTGAATGCTGATCTCATTCTCTGGAGTTTGCCAAAGTTCTGTCCTCCTGCGTGACAGTAACATAAATGCAGCTGTGCGGAACTGGGAGTTTTCCTCTGTGGAGGAGAGCATGTCACAAGACTAGTTTATCATAGTTAAGAGCAGAAGAAGGCAAGAAATGGACTGCAGTGTTGGTGATGATCATACAGCTAAGAGAACTATAGAAGAAAAATTATGTTTGATTGTGTAGCTATCTGACATACAGAAAATGATTCTCCTATACAAAACCCTATATATGGTACACCAACTTTCCCATATTTCATGGATCTAGTTCAGTGCTTCTTTAAACTCACATCACAATAACCCAGTTTTCTTTCCTTCATCACACACTAATTTGGCCATACATTAAAATATGTTCTCATGAGTTGGTAAATCAGCAGATTCCATTTGCTAAATAGATTTTTGAAATGTAGCATATTGCAAGGCAAAAGACTTGACATCTAAGTCTAAAGACAACAGTGGTATTTGTTCTCCTTCCCCACCGCCACCCCCTCCTCTGCAGCCTGACTGGTTGATTCCTGGTAGTCTCTTTCCTACCTAAGCCCAAATACGGTCATCAGTTAGCACTGCACCATGCAAACTGCTCAAGCTTCTGTTGTATTTCAGTCCCAAACAATTCTTCTTTTCTGTTCTCTCATCTCTCACTTGCAGCCACCTGAGCTGCTTCTGTTGAGGTGCACAATCCAGCCAAAGTAAAATACTTCTAGGTCTCATTGATTTAAGTGGAGCAGTTGAGCATGTACTTAGCCCTCCCACTGAAATCAATGAAACTCACATTAGAAGTGTTTCACTAACAGTAACCCACCAGTGTTGACCTGAGTGGCTGGAAGAAACAGCACAAAACAGTGTTCACTCCGTTGAATTCATTCTTCAGTCTCTCAACTCCTTGAAGGGCCACTGCTGCTTCAAAGAGTTAAGACAAACAGGCAAAGCAAGATAAATACCCGATAGCGAATATCTTCCCACCTCCCTCCCACGTCTTCAGAGGATGTTGTCCTGCATCTGTTTTGTTATCATAATATGTGTGTGCCTTCCTTCATTAGCAACACAAAACTATTTCAACTCATGGCCTATCCATATCTGATCAGCCTAATGAAAAACCAGCAGTATTTGTGGTTTTCCATTATAATTTATAGGGGTGTTGTTCTTTTTAAAAATTTGAATTCTGAAAAATTAGGAGTGGGATAAGGTTTGGGCTTAGGGCCCCCTGGTAGTGCAGCAGGTCAAACCACTGAGCTGCTGAATGTGCTAACCGAAAGGTTGCAGGGACTGGGGTGAGTTTCTGCTGTTAGCCCCAGTTTCTGCTAACCTAGCATTTTGAAAACATGCAAATGTGAGTAGATCAATAGGTACCACTTCAGCGGAAAGGTAACAGCGCTGCATTCAATCATGCTGGCCATATGACCTAGGAGGTGTCTATGGACAAAGCCAGCTCTTTGGCTTAGAAAATTGAGATGAGCACCACCCCCTCCCTCCAGAGTCGGACATGACTAGACTTAATGTCAAGGGGAACCTTTACTTAAGTTTTGGCCCCACGGCCCTCTTGTCTTACTGTTTTAATCCTGTCATAAAAGAGAACCAACTATTGTACTCAAGATTCAAGCAGGTCTGTTTTAATAATCTGGTTTGACTTTGTCTCTGAAGAAAACATGCCACCTTCCAATTACTTTAATCAGAAAAGTATCATTAAATATATTGCTAGTTAAGGACAATAGTGTGTTCACCACAGACACCTTGAACACGTTAATGTAAGAAACCATGATCCTGCTTAGACTGTTCTAGATTAGCTAAGGAAGTTCTAGTGCTTCCTTACTCACCATCTACAGGGCTGAGGTAATCATGAAGGTGTGTCGCGCTGGCTGCTCCTCCGCTCTGCATGAGGAGGTCCCCATAAGGATTTGGATGGCTGGTCATGAGTGTCATCTGGTGATAGTAATCCGTAGGGTTGGCTCCAGGAGGAGGAGGGGGCAGGCCAAAGAGACCTCGCTCTTTCAGATGCTCATGGGCTACTGCACAGGCAATGGGTAAAAGGGGGCAGAGGAAGGGGAGAAGAAGCAACAAGGGTAAAATATTTCCAGAGACTGAAACTTCTGCAGTGATGTGAGCATCGCCCCCTTCTCCCTGCCAAAACTTTGTAAGTTATGACTCTGACGTGTGCTTGGGACGTGTGCTCTCTGTGGACAAAAGACACCAGGCTGGGGCCCTCCACATTCCTCCATTTCCGCAATTTTATAAACAATCTCTCATTTCCACCCCCTTTCTAATAATCCGTCTGTATGAAGAGAGTTCACCAGAAAGGGAGAGAGAGAAAGGGAGGGGGAGAAGGGAAAAGGACAGGAGGTGGGAAGGGATCTGAGTGGAACAACGGTGTCAGAATTAACATCCCAGCCTATTACAAAGGAAAAATACAAACACAACCCAGTTAACGAAAACCAGCACTATGAGAAAATTAAAGCAAACGTCTAATATGTAGAGTGTATGTGTGTGTGTTTTAGTACTTGGCAGTAGAAAACCATTTGGCTTGCCAGAACCAATTATCCTCACTTTTTCCCCCGTTTGTGAATTTTCAAACCTGCCTCCCTGCCCAAGCTCCATTAACTTATTTACTGTGGCTATAAAAAAAGGAAAAAGAAAGAAACAAAGAAAAAGAAACAAATAGGGAAAGAAGAAAAGCAAAATGAAAGCCAACACAAAGGGGCCTTTCTAAGGCCAATAATAAAAAAAATCGTAGGCAGGAAGGAGACTCAGGAGGAGCGAGAGGGAGAAAGAGGTACAAGAGCAATAAAATGCATCTATAGTTTGCTTGGAATAGTCTTGGAATCTTAACACTTGCTACAGCGAGAGGCCTCCAGGACCATGAAAACCAAATCAGCAGCAATCAGCAGACTGGGTTTTACAAGAAGTGTTAAGCCTGCCTGGCTGAAGGAGCATATATAGCATCCAGTTCGCACTCCACAGGGATGAGTTTTTGACTTTAATTCTCTTACAAATTAAGCAGAGCAGCACAGAGCAGAGCGAGTTATCTTTTGAGACTACAACTCCCAAAATCCCCAGACAGCATGGCCTCTTGCTGAAGGATTCTAGATGCCATAGTCCAGTTTAAAAGAAAAATGTACCATATATACTCTTTTCATATTGTTCATACCACTATCACCTAAGCATCCAAATGTAAATCAATAAAGAGTTCATTAAAAATTAAGGGAAGGTAACAGCGCTCCATGCAGTCATAGCAGCCACATGACCTTGGAGGTGTCTATGGACAAAGCTGGCTCTTCGGCTTAGAAATGGAGATGAGCACCAACCCCCAGAGTCGGACATGACTGGACTTAATGTCAGGGGAAAACCTTTACCCTTGACTATAAATTAAGCTTTCAAAAAACTGCCATTGCTAGTCTCTTGCAGTGTAAAAAAGAGGACGAGAGAGAGAAAAAAGGAAAACAAATGTGGCAGTATCTTTAACTGGTTTTTATTTTAGCATTAACTTTTGTGGATACAAACCTATCAGAAGAAGGTTTATATCCTTGAAAGCTCATGCTAAAAGGAACACCAGTCAGCCTCCCACCCGCTTCCTATTTGTGATAAAATAAGTGGTAAACATGGCTGTTACTTTTTTCTTCTTTGTCCCATTAATAAAAATCCATACATTTCAAAATATTCTGCTCCCAGCATAATTTGTAATAGAAAAAAGCAATATAAATTAGTAGAAATACAGTCACTCTTTAATTTTAAAGCAATAAGTAAAGTTCAGGAATCTCATCCATGTTAAGCATTCAGATAGAATTCAGTAAACATTTCCATAACTTCCTTCCCCCCCCCCATTTACATATTCAATAAATGGTTCAGCACATTTAGATGAATGTATCTTCTTTTTCTCCACATAGGTATTCATTCCATGCAGTCATTTTTTTCCTTATAGCAAGAAACTAAATCTTTCTCTGTTATACAAAAAGTCTAATTCAGCAACTTACCTCTAATTTTTAGCTATCACGTCTTGCAAATTGAATTACCCTATATACTCATGTATAAGTCTAGACATTTTATTCAAAAAATCAACTCCCAAAACTGAGTCAACCGATCCACAGTCAATGTGAGTACTGCATGGTGTCATATTGATACATGGTACATCTACAATGTTCAAGTCAACTGCTCAGGCTTTTCCCACTTACCATCAGCTGGGCTGAGTCCTCTGGCAGCGGAGATCATAGAGAGGGTAGGGCTGCTGTGCATGGATCGGAGGTAGTGTTCCATATGGGGGTTCATGTACGGGTGCGGGTGGCTGAAAGGGGACTCGGCGGGCCCCGCCGGGTGTGGGGAAAGCCGAATGAGGGAGAGGTCAGAGATCACAGGGCTGCCACTCAGAGTAGAAGGGCTGCAAGAGAGGTAGAGATATTCTCCATCAACCTGAGATTTTAATCAGGCTTGTTTCATGCCTAAATATTAATTACTCTTGCTGAAAAAAACAAAAACACAGCACTCCGGTCCTGTAATGAGTGTCTTTTCTTTTTCTGTTTATAGGAATACCTTCTAAAGTGGGAAAAAGTTAAGTTCTGGGACTGTGAACTGATGAAATAGATTTCAGTTGATTAACAGTTTGAAAAGTGATTAACATGTTAAGCAATTAAAAAGGCGATCCTACACATTATCATTCAAAAGTATATCTATATATATGGAGATTGTTCTGTAAGGCCTACATCCAATTGTAAATATTAATCAGAGAGGTCCCACCGAATTAACAGTAACTTACTAAATCAGTATTTATATAAATTCCATTGACTCAATGAATCTACTCTAGCTCAGACTATCGGTTTGATTTAGTATTTAGTATGATTTAGTATGAAAAATCTGTATACTATAAGTTGAGTACTCCTTATCTGACATATTTGGGATTGAAAGTGATTTATAGTTTGAATTTCTGAGATTTTGGAATACATGTATTTGCCTAAATGTAGATATCTCGGAGATGGTATCCAATTCTAAACATGACATTCATTTACGTTTCATATACACCTTGTACATATAGCCTGAGGGTAATTATATGCAATATTGTAAATAATTGTGTACATGGCACAACGTTTTTGTACACTGAACAATCAGAAAGCAAACATCTTATTCTCTTAGCCATTCATTTGGACAATTTCAAATGTTTTAATATTCTGTATTTTGGAATTCCCGATAAGGAATGATCAACCTGTACTGTAATTTAAACATATGAACTTTGCAAAAAATACTGTAAAGAAGTAAGAGATCTCTTACAAATAACTTAATGAAATTAACATAATGTATTTTACTTCTACACTTACATATGTGTTGTATTTATTTCTGAAAATGAAGCATCATTTTTTTCTTCCTTCTTTTATTTTAAGGTTTACTCCAGGTGAAACCAAAAACCAATACGTCATCTGCTAGAGGCCTGTTTAAAGGTCTGCTAGTCCATTTTCCATGATGCCAATGCAGGACATCATGAAGATTTCAACATCAAGCCGGAAATCTACTCCTCCTTTTTATGCATCACTTCTCCACTTGGTACCTCTCTCTCTCTCTCTCTCTCTCTTTTCTCTCTTCTTAAAATAATATCTTGCTTGCTGAATGGGACTGATCTCCAACACACACATATTTTGTGCCTTTTTTGCATTAATAAAGGGTATTATACTAGTAAGAAATTCTAGAAGAAAAGTTATATTTTGTATTCATAGCCTATTAATAGAAATGGATCAGAACGAGCACAAGCTCCAAACAATTAAATATTCTTTCACCTGAGTCCCACTGATTGAAATTCAGCCCTCATCAGTTACCAATGCTAGTTACTGATTAATCAATTAGACCTTTAGTTGATTAAACTAGTAATTAGACTGATTACAGACTGTCCCTTATATTTTCAATGTTCACTGCAGAAGCTCTGTGTTTTAGACGGTATATCAAAAGCACAGGCTGAGGCACTCAATTATATAGCCTCTAAAGTCAGTCTGAGAATACATGATTCTATCACTGGGATGCTTCCATATTTCTTGCAGAAAGTATTTCTTCACTCAATGCATAATTAACTTTTGGAGTTCCCAAGGGATGGCCCTTCCCTTAGGTACGTTAATCACACCAGGCAGCAGAAGATCTGTGGGTGACGCCTAGCCTCTCCCGCACCAGAAGACTCACACATCCATCAGAGAATCCTGCTTTGTCACCAGCATCAAAGAAAATCCATCTGTACATAAAATGGAATGTGTGTATGCAGTCTGTGTGTGCATGTGTATGAAATAGAAATTATCTTTTGTTTTTGGATGCAAAACGTCTTGGCCTGCCCCTGGACTACATTGTAGTCAAATTAAGACCCCTAGAAGATTTTGCCAGCCCCATATATATTTAATTCAAAATACAAACAGTAATAAACCATATAATAGAAGATGGAAAATAGCATTTATTTTTGTGCACTTCCATTCTATTTATATTTGAAACATTTTCTTCTCCTGTCTCTAATTGCATAGTCTTTTATTTATTCTGTGGAGCCTGATAGCAGTTTTGCATCATATGATCCATGATAATGGAAAAATTCTGGGCTGCCCCCTTTCCCTTGATGACCTAAGCACTTGTTTATTTTGCTTAATGGTTAATCCAGTCGACACAGCATGAGACATGGCTGTGACCTAAAGCCAAGTCATCTGCCATTGAATTCTGGCAATGGGATTTTTTTTAAAAAAAAATGCCTTTTTTATATAGTTGATGTTACTGCCATTGAAAACTTTAAGCCAACATTTCATCTGTACAGAAGTTTTGTCAAAGGACCTCATCACATTAAGGTCTCTAACATGGGCAACAATGTGTCGAATCCATGGGGCAGTGGGGGGAAACTATCATCCCACAGCCTTCATTGCCGTCTTTCCCATCACATGGGGGAAAACATCACTGCCAGGCTTTCACCTGTGCTGGCCCCATTGTAGACTATTAGAATCACCCATGCTTTCAGGGGTCTTTCCTCAGATGTTGCAAGGATGAAGCCCAGCCAGAAGTAGCAGTGCATCATGTGAAGACCTCTGTTGGGCTCTGTCCTGGTAGTGTCATAGGATGTAGCCAGAAGTCCATGTGATGAGGTCTCCTTAAGTGAGGGTCATCAGGGACAGAATGAGATATCTGTAACTAATTTTGAACCAGCTCTTGGATAAGGTGAGGAACTGTGTAGCTCTGCCAAGCAGGATGTAGGTACTTGTCTTCCCTCTAACTTTCAATCTGTCATCCATCCTAACATTGTCATACTGGAAGAGAGAAGGGGTTGGGTGAGGTGCAAATGAGATAATCTGGACACTCCTCTGCACCCTTCATCTTACTCTCCACCATTAAGTCAATAGCTATGTCAGAAGGTGGCTGAAGCTGAAAGTTGAGATTTGAAAAATGAGGAAGGACAAGTACTTTCAGCCAGCTTGGGGGAGCTTTATAGCACATTGAACTGCTCTAAGGTCTGGTAAGGACTGGGGTTATGCTAGCCCTTCCCAGATTCAATCTGGATACCTTGTGCATGCACCTCAAATAAGATGGATAACTGATGAACATGCTTTTCTTCCTCTTTTCTTCTTACCACTTCGCCTGATAAAGAAGCTTGTAAGCTGAAAGCCTACATGATATATTTTGTACCCCAGCATTGATCTACTTGAAGTACATCTTGAATTTTGTTTTATGATCAACACATCCTTCAAGACATAAAATATCCCTCATCAGAAATGCATGGGGCAATTAGTAAATTAGATTTTGTTTTGTTTTGTTTCTTTTTTCAGTTTTTTGTATGCTTGTATTTGCATATACATATATAATGAGATATCTTGGAGATGTGACCCAAGTCTAAACACAACATTTACATAGCCTGAACGTAATTTATATACAAAAAAGTAATTCATTTTTTCTCACAAAACGACGTTTGCATACATTAAACTATCAGGTTATTATCTCAGCCACCAATATGGACAAATCTAGCATTTTTAGGATTTTGAAATTCTGGATGAAGGAATGTCAACATCTGTCTGTCTGTCTGTCTGTCTGTCTATCCTCAGAGGTTGTAAATCACTTAATGCCATTTGATGGAGAATAGAGGTAGGCCACTGAGGTAGGTAGATTCAGCAGCTTATTCCTCCAGTGTAAGGATGGGATTTATGGCTCTCCAAATGTCACCGGATTGCAAAGCACACCAGCACAACCTATATCAAGAGATAATGGGAAATTCTTTTCAGAAACATCTGAAGGGTCATTCATTTCTATTCCATATACCAAGTGTAATGGGGGAAATGAGGCCTTTAAAAAATTATTGAAAATAGGCATACAGTTTCATAATGCTTTCCAGTCCCCACCTGCACAACATTTTTGTTACTAAGATTACATCAGAAATAGAACCAGGATTCAGAACTGCCCTGTTTAATAGCACAGGGCTTGTAAGTGTCACAGCATGGCAGGCAGCTTGTTAGCACCCCCGGGTTTTCAAGAGTGACATCATTTCGCTTCCCCAACAATCTTTGTGTGAGGCTTGGGAAAGCCTCCACCTCACTCTTTCAGAGCAGGTTTCAGATCATAAGGTGACTGTGCAAAACCTTTGAGTTTCATTCCTATTTGTGGAAAAGAAAGAAAGAATCAAAGTCTGTGTTTCCAATTTTGTTTGTGACTGTTACCAATAATATCTGGCCCCATCTGGAAAAAATGAGAAAGGATTTTTTTCCAAAAAAGGAAAGTGATGTCATTAAGAAAACATCTGACATTTTAATGCTGATGAAGGCTAAATTCAACTGTGTGACTGCACTGGAAATGCTGGCGCTGGGAGGGAGTTAGATGTAAATTGAAAGCAGTCCCAGACTACCCTAACCCATGGAGCCTGCCTTAATGCATAAGTCTAGCAAGAAATTCTCTTACATACACAATAAGCTCACTCTTTCATCAATACGTGGTTTCCCCCAATAGGATTGTGAATGCCTTTGATGCATGCTTGAAACCTTGTATTGCTTGGTTTACAACCCTTTTGAGCTTATTCTGATCAAACCAGGAGGCCAACATCTAAAGACCATTAACAAAATCCAGTGCTTGTTCTTGCATTTTCATCCAAGGCTTGCACTAGAGACGCTGAATCCCCTTCATTTTCACAAAACAGACAACCACACTGGCTAAAAATTAGAATATACAAGTGATGGGAATAGAGATTTTAAATGCTATGCCTGCTATATTGGTGAGTGTGTGTGTACAAATAATGTGTTTTTAAAGAAGGTTCTCAAGGTAGTTGTTCTTCACAATGAAACCCAGACTGTGTAGGTAAAACATCCAAGCATTCTGATGAAGAAGATCGAAGTACATAGGACAATTAAGCAATCCATTCTTTCACAAAGGAAACAACAATCAAACAAGATGGTA